AAATAAGACTTTCAATCGCCAGACTACTAATTTGTTCGCCATTGGCGAATTGGCGAGTGGGTAGCGAGGGCCCTGCATATATACTCTTCGTTTCTATAATGTACGTCAATGCAGAGATGCCAACACATATTTGAAGCAATCTGTAGTTTCTGGCCATCAAATTAGTAGTTCGAGGGTCAAGTAGTGACCCGAGTTTGCTAGGGGGGTCCAGCAGGCAGTGCCTAAATCTGAATATTATAAAAACGTTAAATGGCGATCATTTAGGTGTAACACCATTATTCGCCCACATCTCAGACTTTCACATCTCAAACATTTATTTTCACATAAAAAATTACACATATAATTATCAAGAGTATATAATGTGAGTTCTCCCATATATACTCTTCGTTTCTATAATGTACGTCAATGCAGAGATGCCAACACATATTTGAAGCAATCTGTAGTTTCTGGCCATCAAATTAGTAGTGATCCGAGTTTGCTAGGGGGGTCTGGCATGCCCCCCCTGGAAAAAATTTTGATTCTGTGATGCAATTTCCTGCATTCTGAGGGTCAAAAATGACAATAAATTGACAAAAAATGGCAATAATTGACGACAAAAAAATATTTTTTCGATCACAGTGAAATTCGTAGTTTGATACAAACTGGTCGTAGTGGTGCAAAAGGAATAGAAATTCGGATAAAATACGGATAAATCGTAGTGGTTGGCATCTCTGTCGATGGTTGCTCAATTAAAACTGGCTTCTTCTCACTCACTCATTTGTGTCCTTTTTTGTGGTGAGCTACAGTGTCATTGACACTTTCATTGTAACTCGGTGTGATGATCTTATATGCAGCTAATGCTAGGACGTTTATTTTTACTTAGAAACAGCTTTCACTTTGCAATGCAGCTCTCATAGGTTGACGTTAACGAACTGTCGATTGTTTTGCCTGTCGGCGTCTTCTCTCTCACGCGGTGTGGTTCTTCTCTCACGCGATGTGGTTACTCTCTCACGCGGCGTCTTCTCTCTCTCGCCAGGTGGCATGGTCGACTCGGAGGCGCTCATCTGCCTCAAGGACCTCGTCAACAAGGTCGGCGGTGAGACGGTCTGCACGGAGGAGGCCTTCCCGCTAGAGGGCGCCGGCACGGACCTGCGCGCCAACTACGTGCTGGGCTCGAGCATCGTGGGGGTCGAGGAGGCTGACCTCGTCGTGTTCATCGGCACGAACCCGCGCTACGAGGCTCCGATCTTCAACGCGCGCGTCCGCAAAGCGTACGTCCACAACGAGCTGCGCGTGGCCGTCGTCGGCACCCCCGTCGACCTCACCTACGAGTACGACCACCTCGGTGGCGACGCCGGCACCCTCTCGCGTCTCGTCGACGGTTCGCACCCGTTCTGCGCGACGATGAAGGCGAGCAAGCGGCCCGTGGTCGTCGTCGGGTCCGCGGCGCTGCAGGGGGCGGGCGGCGCTGGCGTGCACGCAGGCGCGGTTGCGCTGGCGGCGTCGCTGCGCGCGTCGAGCGGCTGCGGCGACGGATGGAGCGTCTTCAACGTGCTGCATCGCGTCGCGAGCCAGGTCGGCGCACTCGACCTTGGCTACACGCCCGGCGCGGCGGCGATCCGCGCGCGCCAGCCCAAGCTGCTGCTGATGCTCGGCGCCGACGAGGGAGCGGTGACGCGCACCGACCTCCCCGCCGACTGCTTCGTCGTTTACCAGGGTCACCACGGCGACCGCGGCGCCGAGATGGCCGACGTCGTGCTCCCCGGCGGCGCGTACACGGAGAAGACGGCGACCTACGTGAACACGGAGGGTCGCCCCCAGGTGGCGCAGGCGGCGCTGACGCCGCCCGGGTTCGCGCGCGAGGACTGGAAGGTGCTGCGGGCGCTGTCGGAGGTCGCTGGGGTCACGCTGCCGTACGACACGGCCGCAGACGTGCGGCGACGCCTCGCCGACGTCGCGCCCGCCTTCGCGCGCCCCGAGCAGGTAGAGGGTGCCGGCTTCTTCGCGCAGGCGGCGGAGCTCGCGAAGGGGGCGCCGGCGCCGGCGGGGGAGCTGCGGCCTCCCCAGGTGGCGCTGAAGGACTTCTACATGACGGACGCGGTGTCGCGGGCCTCCCGCACAATGGCGAAGTGCGTGAAGGCCGCGCAGGACGATGAGAAGAGCATGTGGAAGGGAGTCTGATCGCCACGGCGACAGCGTCTGACTCTGACGGCGTAAGTTATTCTATAGAGGCACCGGTCTTTTCTTCCGAAATTCGCGCGTCCAACAGCGGTACCGTGCGCAGCTTATAATTTCCCCTCAGCGTTAGGCACTCCAGAGATGCAGTTTCAAAGTTAATACACGTGTGGCTTCCTTGGGGCGGCTGGTGCGGTCGTCAAAGGGGGCACGCGCGCGGTTAGAAGCGGTGATTCGTGAGAAAAATTCATAAAATGTGCAGCTGCGGTCAAACTTGTGCTAGAACTTACGTCGAGGTCCTGTTCTTGGTTAAGACTGACGACGTAACGATCAAAGCAGCAGTTTTTTGCTGAGTGAGGGATTAAAAACGAGGCTTCACGGATGATGTAGAGTTGAATATTTGGAGCGGCAGCCGTTGTTGTACGCGATAGCATTGATAGAACAGCCAGCACGTAATGAGCAGAAAAATGTGCAGTTGTGTTGCTTTGTATGGGTGTTAAAAATACATAGTTCGTTTAATGTATGGAGAAAAAGATGTTCACTCTTTCTCTGATCTTGTCTACGGAACAATACTGGTGGCTTGCTTTATCGTACCCACACAAAATTACTCTGTCAATTGCATTTTCACAGCTGCGTTATAAACCATGTTTGCAACAAACAGCAAAATAGCCCCACCAACTTATTCACCCACCATTGAAATGCTACATTAGGTCATCACGTGACGTAACCACGAGAGAAATTTTACATGTTTTGCAGGGGGAAAAGAAATAAAACCAGCAGGTAAACCTTTGTAATGCATGGCTGAAATATTTACTCCAAAAATATAACAAACATGTACACTTCACCAAAAGGACAAGTATCTCGGTGATGTGGTAAGTCACATCAGTCTACCTAAACATGTTTTACTTTCATATTTTACTGACAAGGTTAGAACCAAAACAAGCTACTGGGTCAAAGGCTTAGGATAATTCCTAATATTTTATCATCTCATGCTAAATTACATAACAGATCTTCAGTACTTCATTTAGTTTCTAACAATAATAGCACAGCAGTACACTGAATGTGTAGTTTACAGAGGATTGCACCCGACAGTCTAAATGCAATACGTGTCGCAGTTTCTACCATCAAATTCCTAGGCTGAAGCACAAAAATAAGTTAGTTGTCTTCAATTCGTCGCTATGATAGCCCATAACTAAGCTAGTACGCTTTATAGCACTAAAATACTATTTAACAACAACCCAGTGACATGCACTACATTACCGACGTCTGCTATTAAAACCTACGCGCCAGAATCGATTGCATCCACTCCTGATTTGACAATCACTACTATGTACAAAGCAGTGTCATTATATGCAACAATAATAAAACATGTATTACAAACACCAGAAGCAGCAGGCATGAAGAAGTCGATGAGAAGAGACCCTCGCTATACCAAGACACCCTTGTCCATGATAAGAGACAATGATATTTAATTATTACCGTAAATACGTGGACAACGTCACAAACAACTGCATTCAACACCCGATACCAATGTGCACAATTGATTTTATACAGGACGAGTCACCACACCTGCTGTGGAGAGTAAAAGGGAAATGTTATGAAGTGACAGTTGCAGTTGTTTACAAACCAAACTGCATACTAAAGCAACGATTAAGCTGGGATAAGACCCACAACATTGGGATGAAAAATGCGCACTTAAATCGCAAATCCGGTGGTTAGTATTTCAAGTCGATGGGATTTCATTTGGTTTGGTTTCGTCGGTTGGTACATTCTTGCCATCAGCTGTTTATCGTTTATACGTTTTCTAACAAGGCATTTTTGCTCATGTTATTGAAATGAAAAATCAAAGCTGTAACTTGCAATGGTGTGCTATAACAATAAGAGTTGTAGTATAATATAATTATGCCCATTACTTGTAAAACCCGTAGTGGCAACTAATGACGTACGTTGCATTTCGCACAGTTTTATACATTCATTATTTGAAACTGAAAGGCTAATGTTAGTGAATATTATTTTCGAACAGATAAAAAGAAATACCAATTAGATTAACATAAACAACATTGATTGGTAACAGTGCATTTCTTACCATTTTGCTGTGAAGAGCAACATAACAACCGACAGCTACTTGGTAAATCTCACTGCAATGTTAGTCAGATCTTAAGCCAACAATTATAACTTAATTAACGTCAAATATATAGCACTGCACGCTGATATAGGGTCCCCCCTCTCTTAGTGTCACCCAGGACTCACCTCGCGCAATGCTACAGATCTAAGTTAGTGCGTACTATCTTGCGTACAGTCCACGCGAAAAACAATTTGCACGGCCACTGGCACTTACGCTGCATACCAAAACGAATTTGAATGCAAAATCTCAGTTATGGACCCATTGACGGATATTTTGCGTTAGTGTGTTACTCTCAATAAGCTTATCGGGGAGGCAATTTGCATTAAATGTTTTCTGCTAATCCTCTATTTGAGGCCGGGGCTCGGCGCGTCGCGCCGTTAGAATGCGCGCGATGCCGGCTGGGGCGCGCGGAGCGGGAAATGGATCGACATTTTTCGGAAATGCTGAAAGCGTACGGCGGGCATTGACCCCCTCCCCCCCAGCGTACGGTTTGTACGCCTGTGAAAATGTTGATAATTGTGAACGACCCCTAAGACTCTGAACAATTGTTGGTTAAAAAAATACATAGAAAATGCAGATACCCAGATGGGCAATGCTGCCATATTTCTGCTTGGAAACACCTTGTGCAATAACACCAATTCCATGTGCTGCTTGTGCACTCTCCTTCACTCCTCCAGCTCCCACTCATTCGCCCTCAATCCCCCCACCCCCACCCCACTTCCTCTCTCTAATGCTCCTTCACTCCATTCTCTCTGATTTTATCCTACTCTCTATCACTCCTATGAACCCTACATTCTCCACCTCCCAGTGCCACTCACTCTCTCTGTCACTGCATTGGCTCCAACTCCCTATCCACCACTACTCTATCGCTCCTGAGCCTCTAAAGCATTCTCTCTTGCTCTCTCCCTCTTTCTCTCTCTCTCTCTATCTATCTCTCTTCCTTTCTCTCTCTCTCTCTCTCTCTCTCTAATCCCTCTCTCTGACCTCTCCTCTCTATCTCTCTCTCTCTCCTCTATTCTCCCTCCTCTCTCTACTTGCGGATCCCTTGCGACGCGCGAGCGCAGGTCCTGCGCCTCCTTGCGTTCACATACCGCGTGTTCTGGTCGACCTCGGGTAGCTCATCCAACCTCTCTCCTCGTTGCTCCTTCTCATCCTTCTGGTCTGCGGCGCTTGCTGCCGCGCATCTGGCGCATCGCCGCTGCCGCGCCGACAAGAGAGACTGTGCGGCTGGCGCGCTCGCGACAGCGGCCGCTTCTCAGCGTGGACCGTGATGAGTTCCACATGGCAGCCAGCGCCTGTAGCACGCCCGACGGCGGCGCAGGCAGGTTGACGCGCACGATCGCGTGATGAAGTTGCCGGCGTCGAAGTCCACGCTTGCCTGTCCGTCTGCTCGAGGCCCTACCTAGCGGCCAGAGATGACGACGTCACGTGTCTGCAATGCATCCATCGCCACGCTCCCCGAATGCATCCTTGTGAATGCATCCTTCGAATGCATCCAGTGAATGCATCCTCGATGCGAATGCATCCTCGCGAATGCATCCTCGCGAATCATCCCGGGCGATATGCATCCTCAGGAAATGCATCCTCGCAAATGCAATGCCTCGGCGAAATGCATCTCGCGAATGCATCCTCGCTGGGCGAATGCATCCTCTGTGAATGCATCATGCGCGAAATCAATCTCGCGAAATGCATCCTCGCGAATGCATCCTCAGAAATGGCATCCTCGAAAAAAAAGCAATCCTCGTAACCAAATCATGTAATTGATGAAAAATGGATCAATATCAATATATCTATCAATTTAAATCGATTTGTATTTGTACTCGTTTTTGAAAGCGTAGTTGTTTGCGGGTGCTTTTTACTGCGAGACCGACGACGGCGCTAGCGTTGCTCAACACAAGAAGGTCACACGGACAGTGTGCTGGTGCCCGAGACGACGACCCGGCCGCAGTTACTCACGCAAAAGGTCAGCACGGACAGTGTGATGGTGGCCGAGAGCGACGACCACGCGTTACTCACCAGAAGGTCAGCACGGACAGTGTGATGGTGCCGAGGCGGACGACCGCGCGTTACTCACCAGAAGGTCAGCACGGACAGTGTGATGGTGCCGAGGCGGACGACCGCGCGTTACTCACCAGAAGGTCAGCACGGA